TGTCCACTTCAATTTTTAATCATCCCACGGGAAATTTACAGGAAAACTCGACATCTCGCCCGATATTTGAAAAAATAAGCGAAAATGAAACCGTAGCGAAAATAGTTATGCGTGAAGCTCCGTAACAAAGCGCAAGAAATAATTTTTCAAAAGCACGATTCCGCACGGAGTGGTACAAAAGTCGAGGGGTCCGGGTCGACTCATTTTAGTAATGCCCTTTCTCCGCAATGAAAACTAAACAAGTCAAATGTGAAAAAAAGGGGGGAAATGAAAAAAATATTTGCATGAGAGCGAAGGGTGGTGAGCTACCCCACTTTTATTACCGCGGAGTGGTGGGGCATGTATGTTAGAGGCATGTTGCCTGATCATACCCGATTCTTTTTTGAGCGAGTAACAATGAAAATTTTTTGCGAAATGTATGCAACCTCATGTGTGAACACCCTCAATCATATATGTGCTAGGAGCGCATCTTCATTGCCTGGCGTGAAAAAAGTTAAATATTTCAGTGAATAAGAACACCAAATATTTTCGCAAACAAAAGTCCTGCTTGTCAGTGCTACCAAATTGTGTATGCAAAGTCACGTGACATAATCCTATACGTAGATCGAGTTTATATTAAACGCCTTTATAGTCACTTCTTTTGAGAGGGGTTTCTTTTGAATCCAAGTAATCGTAAATTTTCTGTCGTCAAAAATTGAAAGCTGAACCCTTGTGCGCAAGGGCTGGATGGAAGTACGACTCCTCGTATGAAATGTATACGACACAGGTGAAATCGTTTTTGAAGCGGGAAGCTTAAGAAAACGCATATTTTCTACGCAGATTTTGATGTTAGGGGTGTATTTGGAGTTAAGCAGAAAGGAACCAAGCCACATCAGCTATTGCCAAATTCAAGCGGGCAACAAAATGTTTTATATGAAAACGATTGTGCAGATTTTTGTGAAAATTTCAGGGAATTTTCTGTATAGTACGAAGCAAATTCCTTAAAATTTTCTAAGGAATCTACGCAACCGTTCTCTCATAAAAATCAAATTGTCCAGTTCGATTTGTCAATAGCTGATGTGGCTTGATTCCTTTCTGCTAAACGCGGTCCATTTGAGACTGTTCCACTGCGCTCATCGTAATTCTTGAGCCATTTTCTCTGAGAAACAACTTTTCTATTTTCTCTAGCTAAAGTTTGTAACAGGCTCATTAAACTTCAAACATTTTTTTTCGGGTTCAAACTTGATGCGTTTCCGTTCAAATTCGTCCACCTCACAGCCACATCTTCTATATGCCGTGCTAAAGAAGAACGCCATATGAGCCTTCAAACGTTGCCCGGCTAAAACTTGAAATTCTAGGAAAGTTATGCATATTTTTCCATGAAATTTTCAGATATTTTGGATAAAATTGCGTATTGTCTGAAAATTTTGAGAAAAAATATTCACAATTTTCCCAGTAAACCATGCACTGGAAAAAAAAACCCATTGGATCTAGAGTCCAAACTCTTAAAAACATCGACAAGAAAAAATACTCTTGATTCAATCAGATTGAAGCTTAAATCAAGAACCAAGCCTCTTAATTTGAGCGGATTTCCTTTTGATTTAAGCTTAAATCTGATTGAATCGAGAGTCCTTTTTCGTGTCAATGTTTTCAAAAGTCTGAACTCTAGATCCAATTTGTTTTTTTTCCAGTGGCACATCTATATGAAAGGAAAAATGACAACGTTGCATGGCTCATACGGCGTTTTTCCCTATCACGGCAGTCTACCGGACCATTCGATCCACATAAAAGCAGTCCCATAGTTGCCGAATCCGGCGAAAACCCGCAACTACCCCTCTAACGAGGGTGCCCGACAGGAGTTGGCGGAGGGGGTTGAAGTGTCACGGTCGGCGTGGCACTTGGGAGCGAAAGCACGAAGCGCGACCCTCATCCATCACCGAGAGCCCTTATCTGCCGGAGCCGGGGCCGGGGCGGCTAGGCAATCGGACATACATGCGCGTCTCACGTAACTCATATTTACAAATGTAATTTCACTTTGTCCGATCCGCTATCGTCATTAATGTCAAACGTAACGATATAACCCTGTTACCGAAACGCCGCCGCCTCCTCTCGGATGGATGCTGCCTCGCATCTGCGCTTCCTGCTCCGGGCCTGGTCCGCGGTTGCGGCTGTCGGAATTGTTGCCAAGCCGCCTCCATCAAGGACGTTGTAGAGGCTGTTCAATTCAGTTCGAAATAACGCGAATTTTTGCGATTGAATATATACAGGAGGATCCAGGGGGAGACAGCCAGACTGCACGGAGGAAAAAACTTCGTGCGTGGGACCCGAAGTTTAGGTCATATGGATCTCTGAAGTTTTCGGATTGATCATCTGAATACTTTAGGTCTAGCTATCGAGGTTCGGATCACACCTCTGAAACTTCAGTTCTTACACCTGAAGTACTTCGGTTTTCACATCCGAACAACTTCGGTTTTCACATCCGAAAAACTTCGGTTCTCACATCAAAAAAACTTCAGTTTTCACATCTGAAGTACTTCAGATGTATGAACTAAAGTTTCAGATGTGTGACAGCTAGACCTAAAGTGTTCAGATGCTCAATCCGAAAACTTCAGAGATCCATATGACCTAAACTTCGGGTTCCACGCACGAGATATCTTTCTCCGTGCAGGAGCGTGTTCTATGGGTCAAAATAAAACTTTTCTGTTGTAAAAAGTTTTTTCCACAAGCGCCCCCAGTCGCACGGAGAAAAAAACTTCGTGCATGGGACCCGAAGCTGAGGTCATATGGATCTCTGAAGTTTTCGGATCTCGCATCCGAGAGCTTGAGGTCCAGCTGCCGAAGTTCGGGTCACACATCTGAGTACTCCGGTACTTACCGAAGTAATTCGGATGTCTGACCCGAACTTCGGCAGTTGGACTATATGACCTCAACTTCGGGTCCCATGCGCGAATTTTTTTCTCCGTGCGGAACTACGGCCCCTTTCCCCAGAATTTCGGAATGTAAATAGTTTTTCCTCAATTTTGGCAACGGCTGTGAATCAAATCTCATGAAAATGGGTATTACCCTATAATTTTATGACCTGAATCCATAAATGATATAAAAAAAATCGAAATCTCAATTTTAAGAGGGAGTTTGGGGGTGTTTCGGCTCCTGCAGTCTGGCCGTTTAGCCCTGAATCACCCTGTATGATGCGATTTCGTAGCATATTTTGACCACATTTTGCAATTTGGAACTATAAATTCTAGCCCGGTTTAAAAACAACGTAGGTTCGTAGGTGCTATTAGTTTCCCTATGCACAGAAGTGTTTTTCCAGAAGAGCCAGAATTTAAAGTTCCAAATTGCAAAATGCAGTCCATTTGACAGTCGCTCATTTTTTTCTCTTTCACGTTCGACTTTTGAGTGGAGTACCTTTATAGGGAGAGTATGGCGACTGGGTCCCATGGAAGGGCTTTTGACCCAAAAATGACGGCACTTTGTTTTGGTTTTGGTGGATGGGCGGGGGATCATTGCCAACTTTTGACGTTTATCACCAACTGCACTTGATGCCAACCTCATTCGATTAACCTTCATCGATCCTTTCCCATAAGTTTAAATGACAGATCAATCGCAAAGCACGCCACGTAGCTAATCGGAATAGGAATAAGAGTTTTTCCTTCTTTTTTTTCGGTTTATTGACTTCGTGTCTAGCACCTGAAAGGAGAGTTTCACGAAGGAACAGAAGATTGACGGGGAAGAAAATTCTCCTTCATTTGCAGCCCGTCAGAATAAATACACCTGCAGGAAACCATGAGCATACCTCGTGCCTCTAACAGGAGACTGCCATTCAGCAAAAATTTAGCCCTTGGGAGTTATTTAGAGAGAACCTACAAGTTTTGTAATGACTTCAACGTCGGTAATAATTCCCCGACTAAGTAAGCGTTTAAGCGTCTGGGGGATTCCAAGAGCTGCTTTGGTTACGCAGCGTTTCTCCCAATCAAGATCGAGAGATTTTCATGCCTTAACTTTTCCACCGCGAACAGAACATGGATGCCACCAAGTTTTTTAAGTGCTAAAAACATTAAAAATATCGATTTTAGGGAAGGCAAGCTGCCTCGCCGAGAATCGATTGTTTCGCATGCATTTAAATGGAGAAAAAACAGTATTACAACTAATATTCAAGAATCACCACTGCACTCGATAGTATACGAAATTAAGCACCGTGTCATAAAGTTACTACATCGAAAGTTTACGTGAAATACAACAGATGTATTAAAACCCTCCGTATTTGATTAGTGAGTGAACAAATGTCTTTTTGTTATGTAAATACGTCGATACCTTCCCGCTGATGAAGAGAACCAAAGTTCGTTGGACTCAAATCGATCACTCATTCAACTAATTTCCTTCAATTTTACGTTGGGAGGAAAATTTACGTGGAAATTTTGTTTTTATTTACTTTTTTGACAAGAGTAGAGATGTGTGTATCAGCGAAGGAAGGAAGTTTGCGTGAAACTAAGCTCCAGTGACGTTTTTTTAAATTTGTTTTCAATGGCTAATGTGAACCACCATAACTATGTTTTTCAACTCGAAGGAGTTTCAAATTACTATTTAAAGTCAGTGAAACGACAGATCGACGGCGTAAGTCCGAAATCACATATCTCGTTTCCGGTGTCTGGAAATCTCCGCCTCTATGTTATATTTTTAAAGGAGAATAAATTGACATCATTCCTTAAAATTTATGCAGAATTTTCTTCGCCTAAAGAAGGAAAATCACGGCAGTTTTAGAGAATTTCCGTTGAGTAGTTTTCCGTTTAAAAAATAAAGTATGACACGAAGACTGCGAACCAAGTTGTGTGCTTGCCGACTTACAACGTCGAAATGTCAATTTCTCACTCAGAAATCAATTTTTGAAATTTTTCAATATATTCAAAATGCTCTGTGTGTCATTTTGATGAGGATTTTTTTTCTTTTTTGTTAAATGTGAAATCTCATTTTATCTTATGAAGGGAACATATAAGAAAGAAAGAAACAAATTTTGACCCATCTCTTAGTTTGACACTTCAAGAACCAATATATTAAATCACAGCGCTAAATAAATTCAGCAGCTCAAAGACAACATTAATGGATGTTCAATCCGAATCGACAATCCCACAACATAAATTTCAGCAACAAAATTGTGAAGGACACTAGCGTTGACGAAATTGTGCTGAAACCGGTCGAAGAAATATGCGCAGTTGTCAGTACAACCCCAGCTTTCGGCCGTAAGCTAAAGCAATCCGAGTCTGCTCCTAAAACGATGACTCTATCCCTGAAATGTAAAATGTTTAGTTTGAGTTTGCAATTTAAATCAAATTACATGATACTGATAATGTCGCAGGCAATTAGCAATTGCGTTGGCAAATTGCAGTCTATTTAAGTTGAATAAAAACAAGTAAAAATTCAGATGAAAAAAAAAGATAGATTGTACTAATTCGTTGTCAGCACTACCCCAGCTTTCGGCCGTAAGCTAAAGCAATCTGAGTCTGCTCCTAAAACGATTACTCTATCCCTGAAATGTAAAATGTTTAGTTTGAGTTTGCAAATTAAATCAAATTATATGACAATGAAAATATCGCAGGCAACTTGCAGTCGTTGGCAAATTGCAATCTGTATAAGTTGAATAAAAAAATGTAAAAATTCAGATGTAAAAAAAAATGAAAGCACTAATTAGTAACACACTTTTTTTTCTTCTTGATTGAATGATATCAACTATAGCACACACGCGAGCTCATGCAGTGAATTCAGTGATCTTAGTTGAATTTGGTTTCGTTTTGCAAGATTTTGAAACTGAACTAACAACCTTGCAAAGCGAAAAGTATCGTTAGGACTTGAAGGCACCCCAAGCCGAGTTCGTTTCTTTGAAGTTCTTTATGAGTAAAAACTTTACTACGTCATTGCGAATTAAAGCAATTTGACGAGTTAAGGAGATTCAATGAACAGCATATTTTGTGTCAGAACGACTTGCGATACATCGCATCGATTAGTTTCATGTTTTCAGCTACTTGCCATTTTCATCGAATTTTGAGATCGAATTCTCACGATCGATCTCACGAGATTGAAGATTTTATTTACCAAAGTTGACAAACAAATTCAACGTAAAGAAAGACAGAGGTTTTTCCGAGGAAATGTTAGGAAAAATGTTAAGAAATTTTGTTTTGTTCGGAGTATAATGAATGAATGAATGAATGAATTTGTAGTAATGATTCGTAAGTCGTCTCCTAGGGACGCCATTATCAACATCATGCTTTAAACTTACCCGATATTGTAGCCGGAGTTCGCACTAGCCGTATGAACTTCCATTGAGCCGGATACGTTTTGATGGTGGGCGCAGTTATTCAGGCATACTGACTCTGTTTCGGACCCAATATTCACCAGAACAAAAATTGAAGGGTGACCCCGAAGTTTTCTGAAAGGAACAACATCACAGATTTTTCAGTGTTAGTGAAATTTGGCGTCAAAAATGGGGGACAACGTGATCCTGATGAGCTCCAAAGCCACATTCTAAAATGCGTTTTTGATGGAGTTCAATGCTCGAAATATCATCTATTGATGCATTTACTTTGGGTAACGGCATGGTGCGGTGGAACCAGAGACACGAGACCCTCCATTAGCCTCTTGGTGACAGGTGGAAACATTTACTTTCGGGGATGCAACACTGCCCTACGGACAATTTTAAGGGAACATCAGTCATCAATCTTTTTTCGGCTGTTGACCTACCTACTAGGTGGATGATGAACTTCAAGTGACTTCTTCAGCCAAACAAGTTTTGCAAACTTCGGTTTGTTCGCATAACGAAACTCCCAACACGTTGTTAACCATCAACCTAGTAGGTTGGTGTAGGTAGCTAAATGTTGCAGTCCCGAAGAAAAAAGCTTTCACCATCCATTGTCAAGGTACTTAAGTGCCCTTCTCGAAACTTCATATTTTGAAGTTTTCGTAGAAATACTTCAAACCGCTTTATAATTCCAGTAGAGTCTCAGAGTCTCAACCTTGTTTCCCCCAAAAGTTTCGTAGAGAACTACTCCATGTCCTCGGATCAATATATCAATATCGAGTGTACTAAGGTCCCTTTTTGCTTCATATAACTTTACAAAAATATTTCATGAGCTATTTTTTTGAAATTTAATTAATTAAGTCACAATTATGAGGATAATTCGTAATGCACTGGAAAAAAAACACATTGGATCTAGAGTATAGACTCTTAAAAACATCGACAAGAAAAAGTACTCTTGATTCAATCAGAATCGAGCTTAAATCAAGAGCCAAGCCTCTTAATTCAAGCGGATTTCGTTTTGATTCAAGCAAAAATCCTACTGAACCAAGAGTATTTTTTCTTGTCAATGTTTTCAAGAGTCTGGACTCTAGATCTAATGTGTTTTTTTTTCCAGTGTGGGTGTTATTCTACAAATATGCTGTTTTCATTTCCGCTTACCGCGAGATCATATGAATCCATTCTGATACGACGCAAGTCTCCCACTCGCCGTATTGTATGACTGGAGAGCTTCTTAAATTCATCAGACGCTTGAATGTGTTTAAGGGGCTCCGAGTGTCCTCAAGTTGTTTCTTCACATTATTTCTCCAAAAATCTGAACTCACCGGCAACCATGCGTTTTTCTTCGTTGTAAAACCTTTGTTAAAAAGTAAAAGGAAAGTAAATAAATAAATAATAAGCAAGGGAAAAACACTGAAAAGTGTGGTCAGAACAGTATTTTACAAGGTGGTTTAAGAGTGCTGGGTCCACACTATTTTGCCAAAATCGACAAAAATTTAATTACAGTATAAAATTTGAGCCCTAATAAGGATCAGTACAAGAATTAGGGGGAAAGTGTTCAGTTCAAACACATGCATTGGGATATTGATTAGAGCTTAAATTTGTTACTCTAATTAATATCTTATTAACGTCTTATTACGTCCGCTATTTTGGAATAGTGGTAAGTTAGCCTTTTTAAGCTTCTTAAGTTCTTAACACGCCGCTCCTACCACTAGACGGTCCCGATTAATTATGCTATCGGAACCGATGTTGGGTTGTTCAATAAAGTTGTTGTTTTAACCAACTTTATCCACCGCTAGTGAAGCAAAAAAAAAATAAATAAATAAATAAAAGTAAAAGCAAAAAAAAAAAAAGGATCGCTGTAGGCTTATTGTTGAAATTTATTGACAGGGCAATAGACAAAGAAGACAAGGAGAATATGGAGCGCTCCTTTTAGTCGAAGCGATTCAACTTGGGGTTATAGACGCAGGAGGAAAATGATAGACTAACTGTCTATCACTCACCGCCATCCACTGCAACCATCCGCCTCCACCCACATTCACTCCGTTTTCTCCTCGTCTTCTTTGTCTATCGCTTTGTCTAACAATTTTAAAAATCTGCCCGCTGTTGCTGTCAAACCTGCATTTATGGAGTTGTCCCACTGCATAGGTCCTCTGAATGCGCCACGGTTATCTATTTTGATTTCTCTCTTCTGATCCGGGCGGAGTTTGGTATCTTTCATGCCAATTTCCTGACCGTAGTAAACACTGGCCACTCCTGGCAACAAAAGTTGAGTCATGAACGCAGCCTCTGCAAACTCAGGATCGTACCTACTCGGTAAGCGAGGTAAGTCATGGGTGTCTAACTGAAAAATAAAACAGTATTTGCATAATACAATATTTGAATCAGTGATAACGAAAACACACCAACTCGGAAACTACACGAATAATCAAGACACAGGCAAAACTGCATGGTTGTTGAAAAAGTGCAAGAAAAAGATTTTTGGTGCCAAAAGACAAGTATTAAAGGATACTTTAAAGGTCCGAGTTGGAACAGATGCGTTAACTCCAGCGACCTCTATGAAAACTGACTTTCTTCAATGAAAAAAAGCATTTTGAGTCACCGAGTTGGTGTGTTTTCGTTCTCACCGATTTATTTAATCATAGATCAAAAGCACAGAAAATTGCAATTCAAGAGAATTTTGTATGTTCTATTCAGCAGTGGCTAATAATGAATCGAACAAAATATGTACATGTAAATCTTCAAATCTTCGCAATCAAACTACCTGCCTTTCCTCTGCTTTTCTTTTATTTTTTATGTTGACTTTCTTTTTCTTTCTCTTTGCTACTTTTTCCCCGTTTTTCTCTTTTAATAGTTTTCTCTTTACATTTAAATTTTGCAAGGTAAGCTGTCATGGGAGTTTTAAAAAATCAACTTACCACCCAACAGGGCACCCCATTCGGTGGCATTACATCCATATAACTATGAATTATCCTTTCCAAGTCTGTTGCATTCGTTGTATCCTTTAAGCTGAATAGTCCAAAGTAGAATGGAAAATGAGTAATTTCATGAGTCGAGTTACCGAAGTATCTTACAGCGTTCCTTGGTTCTTTGAAGGTTTCCGGTGCCATTATTCTAAACAGAATAGGAGCAAAATTAAGCTTTCATAAATCCAATTTTATACTTTCCACATTTTTCATGGATTAAAAGCCTAGTATCTACAACATAGCTTTTGAGAATGATTGTTGAGAATGAAAAGAATTCGAGTACATCAAAATGACGCCGGGGGGTATGCCCCTTGGCAGCCACGCAGACCAACCCCCGATAGCTCGTGGCGCCCTCCAAGGTCTGCTTAGAAGGCCTTTGTTGCTCGTAACGTTTTCGAATATCCGTCATAGAATTGAATATTATGGCCCAATGTAGGAACGAACCAAGATTCAATAAGCTAGTTTAGTCAGTTTTCCACCAAATATGAATTTCAAATGTTGCTTTTTGCCCCTAATCTTGCTAAGCTCACCAGTCATCCCGAATATAAACACCCTGGGTCATATTTCAAAAATCTGGAGAGAGCGGGCTCATCTAGAGACTACCATCTGCCGATAGCCGAAAATCATGGGAATTTGCCCCATGGAACACTCGCACGAACTGTGACAAAAAATTAAAATATTCATTGTTTGAATGGGAGGATTAGCAACTTTGACACGTAATATACAAAAAGTTGGATCATATTTCCAAAATCTGAATACAGCGGGCTAATTTAGAGACAATGAACTGTCGATAGCCGCAAGAACCATGAATATCGGCGCGGTAGAACGGTAGAATTAAGCGTTACCAGAAATGAAAATTTAGGAGGCTTGTGAGCTTATAGTATAGATGCCTATCACACTACAACCGTATAAGACCAGCTTGTGGCGTATTGGTAGAATGCCTCTGCAGGGAATGCACATCTGACAAATTTCCTGTGCTAAAAGATGCATAAAAATGATCGTCTTCTCTCTACACAGGTATACTCTATTTGCACTGCGCTCAAAATTTTTCACTACACTTATATGAGAAATCGCGATCCTTCCAAATTTTTGAAGTCATAATAGATCAGAATCGATCATCGTGTTTGCTTTTCTTTTAAAATTCACTCCTATCAACTCCCATGATTTGAATTTTCCAATTTTTTCAAGACCCCCTCGGCTCTCAATCAGAATTTTGGCAGCAAAACAACAACACTGGCTACGTTACGTTTTTCAATTTCAATCAAACGTGTTTCAGTTTTTGAATCTCACCTTGTGACATTGTCTTGCTCTTTATATCCATCCAAGAGCGTGCGCCATTCGTAAAGAAGCTGTAGCTCGGCCTCAACATCCTTTTGGTAGGTGTGGATCTGAGAATTAAAAGCTGTTGAATTCACCACCTCTGGAGAGACCCAAGGGTTATCCCGCATAAGGACGTCTTCAAATATGAATCCCGGGGCATCAACTCGGAATCCATCAAATCCGAAATCCAACCAAAATTGAAGAACTTCCTGGAACCAAATACGCAAACGTGCCGTATGCTGCCGTGCTAAGGAAGAACGCCGTATGAGCCTTCATCCGTTGCCAAGTTTCCTCTCATAAAAACCGAATATACTGAGAAAATTGGGAAAATTATTTGCCGAAAATTTCAGACAATTTTGTACGCAATTTAATCTAAAATATCTGAAAATTTCAAAGAAAAATATTCATGGATGTTGTCAAAAATACATGTTTTATTGAGGGCAATCTGGCAACTCTCGGATGTTCATATGGCGTTTTTCCTTAGGACGGCAATATGGGTCTCCCGCAAACCCAAGGCTAGGGAACAATACCGCGTAATTGACATACATACATACATTCGAGTGGCTTTACAGCGCGCACGGGCGCTCTGCGACACCTAATCGCCATCCCTGCCTATCGATCCAGAGGTCACCTAGTAAATGGCATCTCGTGATTTCATCTTGAATGCCACCTATCCACGATTTTGCTGGACGTCCCGTACGTCTTCTCCCAGGAGGGCGTACGTCAGCGTAATTGACAATTTTGGCAAAAATGAGTAAGCGACGTTACCGCATTTCACGACGTACAAACTGATGTTTTTAGTTTCTTTTTTAAATTCTTCAGGGGAACGCTGTAAAGACACAGAAATGTGTGAAAAATTGCACATCTAACCTCATAATTGGACGTATTTCTACCAAACAGACCTATGTGGCGGTGAGAAATATGGGGTATGCTCCAGAAATCTGCATAAGAAGCAATGTAAAAGTGGGCGTGGTTCCTTTTGAAGAATTGGAAAAGCGGGATATTGCATTCTATCAAACAGACCTATGTGCCAACTGAACGCGGGAGTCATGAGCCGCGGGCATGGCAAGAGAGCCTTGTGGACAGGGCTCATGAGTTAAAGAACGTTCCCGCCTTCGTGAGGATACCCGTCGTCACCGCTGACGTCACTGGCGCTTTATTATTCTCATTAACTCTTACGCAAGAGAACTAACGAGCACACCCCATATTTCTCACTT